GAAACCAATGAGCTCATTGACTCCTTGCCAAAGCTATTCTAAGATGTTTTAAGGACTGCAGCCTTAAAACGGAACAAAAGACAATGACAAATTATGATGTCTTTCATTTTGGGCACATTCTCAGCAGATGCTTAGAGATATGAGTCAAATAGAAATTTATGATATTCAGAAAACATCCAATTTACATAGTACATATATCAGGTTTTCAAAATAGAGATAAGGGACGGTCAGAATTCATGACATAAAGACTTGACAATCAAAGGGTAGGTATTAATACACTTGTACTGTACCTATGTACTAAATAAAAATATTGACTTTAGTTAACTGAGCCATTTCTTTGTTAAATGAACACATCGTCCACATTCTTAAATTACATGATGCATTTTTATCATTGTGACATGCCCACACACCCCAAAAGATTTCTAGGCATCTTGTCCTGCCTATATAAAAGTAAAATATTTTCGCCTTCCAATAAGTGATTGAACCAAGTTGACTAATCTGGCATCAACACAGTATCAAGAAGATCCAAATAAAAGCGTGTTAAGTACTTTAGTGTATAAGATTTCAAAGTTTCCTTGCAAATGAGAATTACATTACTAAAGTTTTCTACTTATTGTGTGGGATGATGAGGGGTTTGCACACTTTTCAGCATTTTTTTATTTAAGGAAGTTTCTCAAAAGTTTTATGAAGTGCTTTTGCTCAAACACCTTTATGCAAAAGTTACAATTCTGCACAAAATACTAGTTCACATTTGCCAAATGATCAAATCTAATATTCCAGGTCTTGCTGGTTTGCTTGCAAATATCCAAATTTGCAAGCAAAATAGTAATCTTCATGGAAAATAAGATGAAACAATAAGCATGGAGAGGGCTTGCAGTGTTTTTTGTTCTCACAGTAACTTATTTTTTTCTCCCCAGTGGGCTGCCTCTTTCTCATATTTGACACTCTTTCCCACTGACAATATGACATAGCTTCAGCTTAGGGAATAAGAAGAATACCTCCAACCTAGGAAGGATCTACACTGTCATGTAATACAGCTTGAATCTACATTATTTGATCAGTGTAGACCCATACATTGCAGTTTAACTGCATTATAGGAGTCTATATTTAGTGTAGATTCAAATAGCATTTTATAGTACTGTAGATCCAGCCTCAGACACTTTAGAATATAACTTTCTTGTTCTGACAGAGATTAGAAATATAATAAAGTATTTCACAAGCTTTTCAAGTGAGGCCCCATCTGCACTGCAATTTAACGCAGTTTCACACTGCATTATGTGGAAGTAGATCAAGCCTAAAAAGACCAATGCCAGAAGTGCTGCCTGTTCTCATATCTTTTTTCTGTCTCTCAACAACCCATATATTTCCAAAAGCTATGCTTCACCAAAGAAATGATCTTTCCAAGCACACTTTCCAGTAGTAGTAGTAGTAGTAGTAGTACTATCAGTAATCACCACCATCATCATCATCATAGCAAACAGGCTTCCAGTGAGCACGCAGGGTTTTATATACCACTGCAATGGTAGGTCCCTGCAGTAAAAAAAAAAAAGATACAGAAAGAAAGAAATCAGCAGCTTGGAAAGTAGAGAACTATTGCAATGTGAATTTAGAGACCAGGATACAGACACAAATGGCTTTTTCCTTGTTGCAACTTTATCTACCCAATTGCAAAACGTTTTAAAACATCTAGAATAGCATGAAGAGCAATTTGGGATGTGTTATCTTCCAGAAAGGTAGGTCAGAAAAACTGCAAATCAAGCAAAGTTTGTTTACACATCCACAATCTCAAACCACAACACCTTAATTCACTTGAATCTCCTTTCTGAAATATAATAAATGATTTAAGCAAAGGTTGGAGGGAAGAGACCCTTTTCCAATGAGCAGGACTAGCAAATCTTATTCCATGGTTGCCTTCCAGGACTTTCTTAATTTATACTGCTATGCTTGGTTGCATTTTGTTTTATACAACTTTAGTAATTTCTGAATTAGCTGGAAAATAGCTGTAGAATAGTCTGCCTTCCATGTATTTTCTTTTTCAAACACATCTGAACATGTCTGCAGAACATTTCAGATTGATGCTTGTTTCATTTGTTTCCTATCTACCATAGCAGCAAGTTTGGAAACATCAAGTGATGGCAGAAGCAAATGAATAGTATGGCTAAGTACTTCTGTAGCAATGATTTATACTCACTGAAGTCACACTTTTTGATTTTAATCAGATTGCTTGCCCCCTTTTTATTTTATTTATGCATATTTTTTTACTGAGAGTCAAAGTTTTTTCCATTTACTGTTACAGAGATACAAAGAAAATTTACAGGACAGTTGCTTTTCCTCCTCATCTTTTTAATCAGTTTGTAAAAAGGGTTTTTTTTTTTTTAAAAAAAGATACAATTATACACCAAGGAATCCAAGGAATTAACTTTGATATGTTTATCCTGGGTGGGAAAAAGAAAATAGGATAAACCAAAAATTGTGAATATTTTCCTCAAAGTTTAATAAACAGTCTTAGAACTGAGCCTCATCAATAGCTTGGGAGAGTTTTGATCTACCCTATCTTCAGGTTTATGTACAATGAACTCTACTCACAAACTGGGAAAGCAACTAAAGATGTACAAGAATGTGTGAGGTAGCCACTGATTTAAAAACAAAAAAACCTGATATCCACTAAGCAAAGGAAAAATGAATTTGAAGTTCTGACTATATTCTTAGTTCAACTAAATGTATATAGTCAACAGAAGGCTTGTTTACACAACCACAACCTCAAAATCTGTAACCTCTTAATGCACTTTAATCTTTCATTTGCTAATACGATCAAGGGATTAACTGGAAGCTGAAGAGAGATGTCAGTCAAGAAACTAAACCTCTGGATAATTCAGGGCTCTCGGCTCAGTTTTATTTCATCTTGGAGTAAGTGATCATGTAAACAATAAGGGGTCATTATTTCTGGTAAGCAACCAGGAGCAGAATTCCCCAATCATTCAGGTAGTTATCTGAGACTGTGACCCAAGATTGCAAACATGGTATATGTGAGCATATATGAGACCAAAGGCTGCTTCAGACATGACCCATTTCCTCAGGAGTTTGGTAAAAACATTTATCTTTACGTACATCATTCTGCATAAAGCAACTGTTTCTTTTGCTATGCATATATATTTGGAAGTTGCCATGCAGTGTGGTTTCAAAAGTGTGTATGGAACAAAACAAGTTTCTTTTGAATGTTTTTGCACATGTACACTAGGCTTGTGCAATTCGGATGAAGAGTGATCCGTTTCTGGTATCCAAATTTTGTTGGGTACCCAGATCCATTTTCAGGAGCCTCCCAAAAATCAGCTGATAGGAAAATCTGTTTTCGGATCTGGCCAGTTGGTGGCAATTGGGAACTTACAAGGCCCCCCCTTTCCATTCCTGGGCTCCTTTCCTTTCTTCCCTTCAAGGGGGCCTGGGTTTGAGGAAGAAGCCATGCCCAGCAGGTATGTGGACCATTTTGGCCAAAAAAAATAAAAATAAAATAAGGCAGCTGAGCCCTTACGGTCATGGCCAGCCAAACAAGTCAGACTGGCCAAAAGGAACTGAACAAACTGAATTAGGCACAAGCCTAATGTACATGTTGGTTTCCCACACCAATATTTCCCCCACCCCAAAAAATGGCATATGCAAAGGAGCTCTTACACTTCATGGATATTCCTGACTATGTAAACAAGAACTGTTGATTTGGAGTAACAACCTTGAATCATCGACCACTGTTGAAAGATCAGGATTGCATAAGTGAATCCAAAGAATGAACTAGCAGAAGACCAAGCTTTGGTGCTCTCTTAGATGGCTGCTAGGTGATTAATGCTGCAGAAATAAAATGACAAACTAGATCTTTCACAATTAAACTGCATTTGTTATTTGTATCTCTGAAATTCAAAAGCAGTAGACTTTGTCGCATCAACTCTCTGTATTTCTAAAGAAAGCACAATTACGAGGAAGTAAACACAAACAGGATCTACGATCTTGTCATATGGGTTGCTGGAATTGCCATGCATCATGGCGAATCTGGTAGCATGGGGAACCTGTTGCCCCACACCTCTCAAGGAGTACCCATTGCTGCTACTGGTTCTGGGAAGCTGCCGTACCCGGAAGGATTTAGAGGACAAGGCTTCGTTCCTGACCTACCCAGATCAAGAAGGAATTTGATCCCATGGGGGGAAGCATCAACTGTGCAGCTTCCCCCATTGCTTCCTGTGCAACACGAGAAGTCTCGGGTGTTGCCATGGCAGTGGCATATGCCAGCTCCACTCTAGATGACCCACGGAGCCCTACCGGAAGTTCCTGTGCATTGTTTGATGGGAGCCAGTGGGCTCTGTGGATCGGCTAGGGCTCAACTGGCATATGCTGCTGGAAAAAGCCCCGTCTGATGAGGTTGCAAGGCTCCATCTGCATTGACCATTTAATGCAACTCCAAGATTACTTGAAATTTTGACAGCCACAAAATGCACACCAAAAATGTACACTGCAGCATGCATTAATGGGTATAAAACACATTAAATAATGTTGCAGGAAAGTCTCCCTTAATGTGCTATAGCAAATCTCAATATATCCCAGGTCCCAGGGCAAAATAGGCTCCACACAATGCTGAAGTCACTGCAGATACCTATTGCTGAAGTGCTTTGCAGAATTTGGGATGATGGGAATGCCGAAAATACTAGCAGAGGGCTAACTAACTCCCTGGGAGGGGTAATTGATTACCTCTGCTCCTAGCTGTTGCTTTCCCTTTTTTAAAAATCTCCTATGCCTCTGATGCACTGGTATGCACCTCTCCCAGAAATGAGAATATAGAAATCCCTGCAGAGCCAGGTTTCATGGTTCATATAATCAACCAGTTCTGGACCTGTCAATCTAACCCCACACCCCATCCCCAGCAAAAACAGTTCCTCTCAAATTAGTTTCAAGCTGCATTATTGTGCCAGTGTAGAAGAGCCTATGTGTAGCTTAATTCTAAGTAAACATACTTAGAATCCAATTCCCAAAACCAACTATATTTGAAAAGGTTTTTCTTTGTACATAGAGTCTACCTAATTAAGGCTGAGTGCCTGTATAAAGCTAGGAAATCAATATTGATGATAAAAGAGCATACCAGCAGTCCAGTAATTCTTTTTTTCTTTTTAAAAAAGTGCATATTAGAATAAGTAAAAATGAGATAAAAGGACTTCCAATGTCCCGAAGATGTCATTTCATATGTAAAATCAAGTTTCTATTATATGATTCAGTATTACACATAAACACTTATATCGCAGAAAAACAACACAGCTCCCAGGAAGGTAGCTCACTCAGTAATGTCTGAGCGAATATTGTTATTTGCTTCTGCTTCTACATCTACAGAATATGGGTTAGCTTTATATGAGATCTCCCTCACCATTGCTCCTTCCCTCCCCAACTGGAAAATTTTGCAAAATAAAAATTCACCCTAACAGACGGTCACCCAAAATTTATCTACATATTTGAAAGGGCTTTTTCTCTGAAATGTATCTACCTGAAATCATTAACCTGTCAAAAGATGACAATTTGCTGTTAGATGTTAGAGCACCTAGCGGAGTTCAGAAGTACCTGCAGTATGACAAAATGTACGGAAAAAAAATATTGTGACAGAAACGGACTGCCTTTCGGTTCCCACTAAAAAGTTAACACCAGTTTTCAGAGCAAAAATCAAAGACAATGACGGCAAGAACAAACAGAACTACTCTCTGGTCCCTTCCTTTCCTTCCTTCTTATCTCACCACTGGTGCCAAGTGAGAGTGGATACACAAAATAAGGTTAACAACAAAAATTACAACATTTTTTTAAAAAAAGTAAGAGCAACAACAACGACAAAAGGTGTGTCAATGTCTGAGGAAAAGTGGGATTGTAAGTGCAGTATTTCTTCATGTGAAGTGTTTTGTTTGCTTTTTTTTTAAAACTCAGAGTCCCCTTTGGAAGAGAAGGCCTAGTGGAACGTATGCTCCCCTCGAACAATGTGTGAGGAGAACTCATAGCGGTCCTGGCTGTGGTAGCCACAAATGTTGCACTCTAATGGGTCCCGGTAGCCATGACACCCCATGTGGATGGTGTACATGACATGGTCTAGGAAGAGGACCCGGCAATGCTCACACTTAAAGGCCCTTATCTGTTCTCCTTCGCCATTGAAGACCTTGTAGATATCCTTTAAAGAGCCCTTAGATGCTTTTGTGACATCCAAAGCCTTGGAGTCATCCTTCATGTAAGCAGGGCTTGGCTTCCTTTTGGGATTTAAGGCAGGGTTTCCTTGGAAGGACTGGTGGTCTTCATGGCTGCTCTCTGAGTCAGAGGAATCCAGGCAGCTATTGCTGGGAGAAGCCTCTCTTTCCTGGGGTTGGCTCTTTGGTCTGATGAGGGAGATGGGACCATCCATGTTGTTTTCATTGCTGTCAGTAGTTTCTCGGCTCATGGGCCTTTCTATTCTGTTAGAGTTGTAGACCTGAGCATAAGCTGAGCTTATGACAGGGGCCACATCAGCAATTGTGCTTGGCATGTGATGTAGTCCTTCTGCCCCAAGGTAAGAGATTGCATTGTTGATCGCTTGGTCCATCATGTGAGTTTGCATCAGCTCAGCATCTCTCTCATAAGGTAAGCTCGCATCAAAATGAATATCTGGATAGCCATATCTCATCAGCTTCTCTCCTGCATTGATAAAAACAGTAAAAAATAAAAATAAAATCACCTATAGGGAAAGATAACATAGGTATCTATTTTGGAACAACAACAGCAATAATATAGGGATATCTATTTAGTAACCCCTCTTTGATACCAGCATTAGCCACCATCCCATATATGCAAACTCAAAAGCAAGCCCCACTGAGTTTAATGGGACTAACTTCAAATACACATTCACAGAATGGCATGCTTCAGCAGGAAATTTAGTACATTAGCAGATGTGGACTATTAACCAATTGATTCCAATTTATTTCCATTTGATTTAACACTCTGAAATTCATAACATTTAATTCTTGTGACTCCACAGCTATTGAAGTAATTTGGTGGGTCCACAAAGATAGTAATGCAGCAACACTTCAGTTTCTTTTTGTTCACATACTAAAGGGAGCTAATGCTCACTCCACATTTACAAATATGAGAATTTGTGTTACTATTTATTTTAGAACTATTATACACATACACCCACACCAGCTATCTATACCTATTTTCGCAAAACACCTAAACTGTGGATTAGGAATTTCTATTTTCAGGTACTCCAGAAGGCACATGGCATTTTTTTACATGTGCATATGAATTTTTCTAATATGGAACCCAGCCTGGAGTGCAAAGTGAAAATAACAAAACTTAAAATCAAGAAAAAGTGTTATTATTTAATTAAGGACTTCTGTAATACATAACATGGAAAAGTGGAGGTGGACTGTATTTTCTATATTGTGTTAGTAACTGGAATATTCAGAAAATCCAGTAGCACCTCAGAAACCATCCTGGAAACAGAAAATTCTGCCACAAGCTTTCATTGAGTCAGTTACTTCTTCAGATTCAGAATAAAATGGAGCGTATCCACGAACCTTTATGTCTTTTTCCCAGTTAGTCTCAAGGGTGCTATTGGATTGCTTTTATTTTTAATGTTTAAACACAATACAACAGTTATCTCTTTGAACACTACTACAAAGTACTACCTGACTTGCTCTTTAACTAAAGCAACCTGTCTGAAATGCAGCTAACCATATCATGGGATGCCATCTGGGAAATACCTCCCTCCTCCCCTTCCACTCTGAGATGAAGTTTCATCTGCAGCCATAGAGGTGCCCTTCAACCAAAGGAATATTCACCTCGGAGACAGGGCATGAGCACACCATCCTTCCCCAAATGGGAAGTTTCCTGCCCTCTTATGAAATGTTATTTCCATTCTGAAATTTCTAGCATTGAAGAGAGTGGGACATTAACAATCAATCCCAACTAGTTCACTTCTCTTAGCTATATTCACATTGCCTTGGCCTTTTTGTTTAGTTCTTTAATTTAGAAGCATAACATACACTTCCAAATTCTCAAATGAAATGTTAACTTACTGAAATGTTAGGAATTTGCGGAATAAAGAACAAATAATTTAGGAGGTAGAATTCTTACTCTGGATCAAGACACTAATCTTTCTGCCCTGTATCTACACCCCTGCAGTGGGGGGGGGGGGGGGGGGGGGGGGGGGGGGACTGTGTAGGAGACACTACAAACATGATGAGCTTGGTTTACCATATTTTGTACACAATATATATTACTATGTAAAAAAGAGGGTGGAGCTGAAAGTCATTATGTTCAATGTCTACCATTATCAAAGTGCCTTTGGTATTTTGGACAGATACATACTGACATAGAGGAGCCGTTGAAATACTGCAATGGAGATTTTTGTTTTAGTTCTCTATCTAAATGACCTTCTTCCACAATAGAAAAAAAAATGTGTAGAGATAGTATCAATGAAAAAATATGCATTGCTAAAACTATGGCTGGTGTTAATATGTTAATATAGTTAACATTTTACCCAACTGCAAGCATTCAAACATACAACTTTACTGCAAGGAAAAGTTTTCAGGACAACTTGCATTGTGACAAAAGTTGAGCAATGTTTGTTTCATTTGGATTTATCAAATACGTGGTGTTTGGTAGTTTATTCCAACTTTTCCCTGTCTTGTGGGAATGACTTTGTTCTGAAATTTTACCCATTGCATTGAGATGGCTCAGTTCATAATGCCACCTGATGTCAAGCTCCAGATAAGAAGCACACAGGCTTCTGCTCACCTTTATGTTAAAGCAATCTGGATTTCCAGAAATCCAGATTGAATGCATTGTTTGCTGGCTTATCATACTGGGGTTGAATTCAAATCTGCTTAAAGTATTTCTGCTGAAGTGATGAGATCAGAGAATTTCACTATTTCTTAGTTTGGTTGTCCCGAAAATAAAGAACGAATGATAGATCTTTACTGGTTTTCTGAAGCTGAATAATATAATCAAAGGAAATAGAATGCAAATACAGTAAATGCAAGACAAGATAAACATAATTGGAAAAAATAGATAATCTATGAAAAGTCCATAGACTTTCTCATAATTATCATGATGCCATTTTGGAAATACTGCAATGGTGGCAATTTGTAGCAACCCTCACAAATGACAAGTATGTTGTCCTGAGTCCTCTGCTGTGGTGGATAGGAGACCTGCTTCAGTTTGGGTATGCTTCCCCATTCCCATTTGAACATAAAATTGTCACTGAATCATATGCAATCTCTCAGCATATCTGGATCTATTTCCCATCTATAAAATGGAAACAGTGATGTAAAATGGACAAGCTTACTGCAAGGATACAATAAAATTATTACCCATACCTAGTCTTAGGTTGAGTGCTTAATTATGTTGAGAGAGCAAGAACTGAAATGCTTTTATATCAAAATGTTGTGAAAATCCGAGGGTCACACTGCATACCATCCTGCAGCAACTCCTCCTTGCCTCAAGCATGAAAACCCGAAATACAGCTGGTCTAAGGAGGAGCTAAACTATAGATTTTGTCCTTGTGGTTCTGGATTGTCTCACCTGTGAGAATGGACTAGATCAGTGGTTCTCAACCTGGGGTCCCCAGATGTTTTTGGCCTACAACTCCCAGAAATCCCAGCCAGTTTACCAGCTGTTAGGATTTCTGGGAATTGAAGGCCAAAAACATCTGGGGACCCCAGGTTGAGAACCACTGGACTAGATGTTGCTGATGTGACCCCAGATTAAGGTAAGAACTCCGAGAAATGAAGAGGCAAAAGCTTTGCAAAAATAGATCTGAAATTTGGACCCACTATGTTGCTCAATGAAAGATCTTCTTAAGTAAAAGTAAGATTTTAGTAAATACAATGAAACAAAAAGGTCAGCAACCACTCATATAATTAATTATCACACGAGACTGCCATCAGGATTCACTTTCTATCTTACATCATTTAAATACCAGCAAGTATATCTGAGATTTAAATGTTCATTTCAAAAGCCATACTATCAGCAAGTTAGACCCTTTGGCCTAGAACACCCACATGGGCAATTGCAACCCACTTCCAACCAAGGCTGCTTGACTTGTTCATTTGCACACTCGCCTTCATGTGGGAAAGTCAGACATTCCACAGTGTGTGTGTACACGAGCATGCGTGTTCAGTGTTGTAACACTGAAAAAAGGAAGAAAGTGAGATAAAGCCCAAACATGAGCACAGAAGTTATATAAAAAGTAAAGTAGTTGTGGTCAAAGAAACTGGTTCCACTCTGTTTTGCAATGTATTTATGTAATTCATATTTTGCCTTTTTTCCTAAATGTGGTCATTTGGACCCCTAGAACCCTCCAAAGGGGGCACACATCTCATTCCTCTGTGTTGTTTATATATATTTTTTGCTGTATTTCATTTTCTGACTTTTGATCCTGCCCAGGTTTTATGATGTAATTCACTATGTATGTTATATTTTTTAAGAAAAGAAAAGAAGGGAAGATATGGATTTAAAAAATAGACAAATAGATATAATGAAATAATTTGAGTCCCTCTAAGGGGTGAGAAAAGCAGTATATAAATACTGTAAATAACAAATAAATATAAATAAATAAATTTGTTATGATCTATTCAAGTTTGACCTTGAAGGAGCTGGGGGTGGTGATGGCCAACAGGGAGCTCTGGTGTGGGCTGGTTCATGAGGTCACAAAGAGTTGGAAGTGACTGAACGAATGAACAACAACATTCAAGTTCGTTCAACCGAGTGTGTTGTGTTGGTGTGGCAACACATTTTTAGTAGCAGTCTTCAGGGAACTCGGATCATCAGAAACCATACAGGAGTCCTAAAATGCAGGCAACAATGCTCATCCATATGAATATATACATTCAAGCAGTTTTCAACCCAGATGTTTCATCAAGCAAATAGAACCCACACTGTTCTTTCCTGATTTGTCCCAGCAGAATGGAGGGGAGAAACTGAGATGACAAAGAAGCAGTTGGTCTTGACTTGAGCAAGAGCAGAAAAAATGCAGATAAGGATAGAAAGCACCTCCTTTTTCCTTCCCCTGGGAGCCCTGAGCAGCTTCATGATTATTGTTATTGCTTCACAGCAGTTAAAAACAGCGTGGCCTTTTTCGGGGCTTTAGCTGCTGGAGAGCAGGAGACACATTTTGGAGAGAGTCCAGACAAACATCTCATGGACTCCATCCAGAAAGGGACAATTTGTGTGACACGCTCCACATATCATAAATTGAATGCCAACTTTCAGTACAGCAGCACATAAGATCTTATATAAAATTAGTATGTTTTAATTGCCTATTTAATTAAGTCCCCATTTTACAATTACTAAAATTGTAAAATGCACCCTAAACTAGTATAAGAATCTGCTATACTTCCCTTCCAATATCCAACGTGTTCCCCCATTTTCCTGAATTTTAAGATGTACGAAATATTTTCATGAGTTTGGCTGTTCTTGATACCACAAAAAATAGAGAATTTTTCATCTCTTCTTCTTTTCTGTCTCTGTACTAATTTAATGTTTTTTATTTTATTTTATTTGGCTTGTTTGTTTCCTTTTTGGTTTTATGTTGAACTGTTGTTGCTTAATGTTGGTTTTTACTTTTCTTGACTGAGCCACTGCCTTGCTCTGAGGTCTCAAAAAACAGAACAAGACAGGAATATTTAAACAAACTTTCTGCAATTATTTCAAACATGTGAATGGTCTAATAGTTAATTGAACTGATTCCTATTCCAAACTAAATTTTATTGATTTACTAGTTTTCACCTGACTCCCACAGATTTGCTAGTTTTTCTCTACCAGCTTCCATTAACAGCACTTCCTTGATTCTTTTTTTAAAATTCTTAGACATCTTATATTTTTTTATATCAAGAAAAGTAGTAGAACTTAAACAAGAAATGGTTTTGAAACTATAACTTCAATAATCACCCAGTAAAACTGTCTATGATAATGATAATAATAATAATAATAATAATAATAATAATAATAATAATAATAATATGCTGGTTGGGAGATTCTGGGAATTATAGTGAAAAAGGAGGAAATAATCCAAGCTCTGACTCATAGAGAGGTCATCATGTCTTGGCAGCAGCCTCAGATCTTTTAGTTACTGAAACTAAAATTAACAAATACACACAAAGCACTAACTAGACCATTTGACAACACTTGTAGATCAAAGGAAGTATGAAAAAACATCTTTCTATGCTTAGAAAATTTCAATGATAGCTCTGGAAACATTAAAGAAACTATATTATGAGGTCACTGTAAGTCAACAGATGACTTGAAGGCACATACACAGGCATCTCTTTTCAATAATGTGTTGCACAACAAAGACTACAGAAATACACAATATTAAATATAGACTACATTTTTTAAAAAAGTATCCCAACTGGTACAATAGGAAGGATTCTCCAAATGATCTAGTATAATGTATTGTCCCCAGATTTTCAAAGTTGTCTTCATGGGGGATAAAATGCCTGGCTATCTTTAGTTTTCAGCACTTATTGGATTCTGCAATGCAGGTCACAATGAACTGTAGTGGCCACACTTGTTTCTAGCCCTCCCGCAATTCCTCCCTTTTCACTTCCCTCCCTTCTAAGAGTACCAATCCTAAATTAGAACATGTATAGGATTTAACAGTAAGCTATCCTGTTTACTTCAAACAACAAAAGTGCTCATCTGAACCTTACCCACAAACTTCTGTGGGGTGGAGCTTTTACGCTTTCCCATGTTGCTTGTCAGCTTCTCTATAACAGCAGGTCTTTCAAAAGGCACCAGAGTAATATTGTTGTCCATCCCAGGTTCTTGATCCTTACAATCTTCCATAGTAGGTACTATATAAAACCAGAAAGCCAAATCAGATAGATCTACCTACACTTCCAACAGAAATCTGATTAAATAAATAAATGAAATGGTCAGCATTGTGAGGCTTGCAAACTGTAAGCAGTCAATGAGTGTTTATAGCAGTGCTAGGAAATTTGTGAGAGTCATTCAGTGAGGCTCTCTGTCTTTGGCTGGTACACCTATGGCTGGGGCATTAGCTCCTTGTATGTGAGATGCAGCAAGGAGAAGGAGTCACACTTTCTTATAGAAACAGTTGGAGAAAGATGAGAATTTGGGACTGTTAGAACAGGTCAAAAGCTACTAATAAGTGAATAACATGTCTACAAGTTGCTGAATAGATTAACGATACAACAGTGCAATCCTAAATCAAAGATGCACCGGCAATACGGAATTAGGAAGAGACAGATGCCTCTGTGCCAGCTGTCTTCATGCCAGCGCACCCACCTTCTGCTGTCTGATGTCAGAGATCAGCCTGCAGAAAAATTTGGCAGTCAACAGTTCTGCTGGCTGAGATCAGTTGGCAGAAGAGCCAAGAAATGGAGCAGAGGGAAAGAGAAGGAGAAGGGACAGAGGGAGAGGAAAGCCAGATTATGCCGGATTCAGATTTCTCCCAAGCCAAAGAAACAGCTACTAAACTGGTACAAAGTTGGGCCAGGAGCAGGATAGTCATAAATGGTTTCCAATATCTTTGAGAGGGATTTGCATTCATTAAGAGTGATCTAGGAGGGTTAAAAGAAAGTCAGGAGATTGCTCTATGGTATTTTAAGGATGTTAACTGTTTTGTGTGTGTGTGTGTGTTTTCGGTGATTTCAACAAATTTGTATCTTTTAATTTTCATATACTGGGGATTTACAATTGGATTTTTTAAAACTGCTGTGAACCACTTTATGTCTCAATCACAAGGATAAAAGTGGGCTAAAATTAATAATAATAATAATTCACAACAGCTTCAACTGTCTTACTGTCAACCTTCAACAATTTTCATGAGTTAGGATTGCACTCTAAGTGATTCAGGAGAATAATCTGCATGGTTTTAGCAGGAATTTCCAGGATATTCTTGCTAAAGCATGAATCAAATGGGGGATAACTATATATCAATTATGTATAGTAGTACACGGAGCTTAAAAATAGTGTGGTGATGATCAGAGATAAAATCATTAAAACAAAAGAATCCTATTTAAAGTAAAAAAAAACCCAACAAAACAAACAATCTTCCATAATAGAATACCAGATCCTTTTTATTCCTTGCTTCAGTTGGTGTCACCTCTTCCACTACCCACAACATTGCTCCACAGTGGTTGCATACATCATCACTACACTGAAGGCAGAGGGGCTGTGAGCCCTAGAACATCCCAATAAGATGGGTTGTTGTAGGTTTTTTTGGGCTATATGGCCATCTTCTAGAGGCATTCTCTCCTGACGTTTCGCCTGCATCTATGGCAAGCATCCTCAGAGGTAGTACGTCAGAATAGAAACCTCAGGAGAGAATGCCTCTAGAACATGACCATATAGCCCGAAAAAACCTACAACAACCCAGTGAGTCCAGCCATGAAAGCCTTCGACAATATATCCCAATAAGTTTTTCCTGGAATGCTTACAAATTATAAAGCAAAACTCTGACAAAGGTATGATGTGGGTGGGAGTTCATAGAGAGAAGGATGGGGAATAAGAGGGAAGTGAAAGAAAAGGAGAGAGAGGGAAAGGGAGGGAGCAGTGAGAGAGTTAATTAAACTTTTCTTCCACCCTAAAAAGTGGAAATGTCCATATTTAGACTTCTGCCCAAGGTAAATTAATGTGATGGGAAGGTGGAAGGAACATTACCATAGTACCAAGCTCCTCAAGCATCCATGTTCATGCGTTCAAATGATTGAATGGGCTGTATTCATGAGCAACTGGAAACTTTAGAGGTGCTCACAGCATGATCGGAAATCTAGAAAACAACCATTCCCAACTGAATGGAAAGAGCCCTCCACGCCTATAATTTCATAGGTAAAAACACTCTGCAGGCATTAAACTGAAAAGACATAAATCCCCCGTCTACACAAGCTCACTCATACCACATTTATTATTTATTCATTAATTGGATTTGATTGATAGTTTGCTCTTCCTCACAGGAACCCCAGGCAGTTAACATTCTTCATAAACACACACACAACACACATACACACATAATGAAGCACTGAAAATGATTCATTTTTCTTGTTCACCCCAAGAATTCCATTTTTGGGGAAATGATATAGCATATCAGCCACCATTTCACAGATATTAATAGAGAAATTGTATATGTCCCAGAGCTGTCCTCATGCCAAGAAACACTGCTGGCTCCATACTACTCAGGATATTAAGAGATTTTTATTTCCCTGTTGATACACTGCTGCTTTTTGATTCATTTCTGCAGGATGGGCAAGGGCAAAGTGACCATAACTGGGCTCTAGCTTCCTCAAATGAATATTCTTCCTTGGAACTTGGTAATATATGCAGGTTTAATGTTTGAAAAAGACTCACATGAGCAGTAAAAGCACACTATGGTGACAAATGTGTGAATCTGTTCTGTAAAGTGCAGGTAAGAACCTTACAAAGCACAAAAGATGGAGTAGATAACTAGTGAAACAAAACAGAGACTGTAACTGAAAGTGCTGAATGTATTTATTTTGTCGAAGGCTTTCATGGCGGAATCACTGGGTTGTTGTAGGTTTTTTCGGGCTGTATGGCCATGATCTAGAGGCATTCTCTCCTGACGTTTCGACAGAGGTAGGACCTCACTACCTCTGAGGATGCTTGCCATAGATGCAGGCGAAACATCTGGAGAGAATGCCTCTAGACCATGGCCATACAGCCCGAAAAAACCTACAACAACCCACTGTATTTATTTTGTTGTTTCCTTTATATTTGGTTACTTATTCTCCCAACTGAAGGTTCAAAACAACACAGTTCTCATAGTATGGTCTCTTTTACCTTGGAAATGCATAGGAGATTTCTCCCACCCATAACAACTACATTCAGTAGCATGGGACATGCTGATCAACATTCCTTGAACAGTCCCAGCTTCATATTTATTCTTTACTTAGGATACGGGAGGTAACCCATTATGTTAAACGGAATACAGCAGGCAGATAGGAAGGGACTTCTAGAGGGTGATGTTGCAGCTAAAGAGGCAGAAAACTCAAGGGACCAATGATGCTCCTGAAGTGCATGGCCATACTAACTCTGCTCACACCTGTTTTGAAAACAGATGTAAAAAAAAAATCTAGCAGCAGAGGTGCCCTCCAGATTTTTTTCCAAAAGGTAGAATTTTCCCATATTTCCATATATAAATCACCATGTATTTACAATGGTATCGAAATATAAATATATAAATTAGCATATTTTAAAGCATAGTTCTTTATAATTTTATTATTCTCATCTCCATGATAATCCTGTGAGAAATGCAAACACTATTTCCGTGTTACAAGTGACGAAATTTCTTAAGAAAGTGTAAGGTTTCCTCAGAACCAGCCACTGAAGTTTAAAGAAGGAGGCTGAGGCAATAAGTCAGATCTAAGAAGAAAACCCAAACTGTTTGCTTATTTTAAATGCAAAACAGCTATCAAAAGCTTGTGATGATAATAGAAGAGTATCTGGAAGAAGGAAAGCCTTACCCCTATTGCATCTCATTTGCTATTTAAAATCTCTTTTGCTAGGCTCAAGTTAGCTATGAAGAATTGGATAAGATCCTGAAGTATAAATATGCATAATTCAAAACAAGGCCAGAATAGCACAGGCTGAAGTATTTCCGATTTCTATGTATGTGATTTCTATGTATGCTTTCAGTTCCCCTAACCCAGTGTTTCTCAACCTTCCTAATGCCGTGACCCCTTATTACAGTTCCTCCTGTTGTAGTGACTCCCAACCATAACATTATTTTTGTTGCTACTTCATAACCGTTATTTTGCTCCCATTATGAATTGTAATGTAAATATCTGATCTGCAGGATGTATTTTCATTCACTGGACCAAATACCTAATAAGCTCTAATTTGAATACTGGTGGGGTTGGAGGGGCATTGATTTTGTCACTTGGGAGTGGTAGTTGCTGGGATTTATAGTTCACCTACAATCAAAGAGCACTCTGAACTCCACCAACAATGGAATGAAACCAAACTTGGCACACCAATCTCCCATGACCAACAGAAAATACTGGAAGTGTTTTCGGCATTGACCTTGGGTTCTGGAGTTGTAGTTCACCTATTTCCACAGAGCACTGTGGACTCAATGATGGATCTGGACCAAACTTGGCACGAATACCCACTATGCCCAAATGCAAACACTGGTGTTAAATGGGATAAATAGACTTTGACATTTGGGAGTTGTAGCTGCTGGGATTTATAGTTCACCTACAATCAAAGAGCATTCTGAACCTCATCGAATGGAATTGAACCAAACTTGGCACACAGAACTCTCATGACCAACAGAAAATACTGGAAGGGTTTGGTGGGCATTGACCTTGAGTTTGGGAGTTGTAGTTCACCTACATCCAGAAAGCACTGTGGACACACTACCCCATGACCAACAGAAAATACTGAGCTTTCGATGCTCTTTGGCGACCCCTCTGACACCCCCTCACGACCCCCCCAAGGGGTGCTGACCCCCAGGTTGAGAAACGCTGCCCTAACTGCTTTGAGTCCCCCAAGGGGTGAGAAAAGTGGTATATAAATACAATAAATAAATAAATAAATAAATAAATTTTTATAGCTGGACAATGAAGAAAGCTTGAAACGTGGTACCTGAAGAGAATTCTACAGATACTATGGACTCCCAAGAAGACAAATGAATGGCAAACCAGGCCTGAAGTTTCTCTAGAAGCCAAAATAACAAAACTGAGACTATCATAATCTGGATAAGTCATGAGATGACATAACTCACTGGAGAAGACAGAAATGCCTCGCAAAACAAAAGGTGGTAGGAAGAGAGAGAGACTGAATTACAGTTAGATTGATTCAATTTATGAAACCA